TTAACTGAGAAATCAGCCTTGTCGGGCTCTAGGCGATGGCAGAACGGAGCGCTGGTGGCAGACGGTTTAATTAAATGGTTAATCGAATCAAGCTAATTCCTCGATAAAACATCCAGTTGCCTTTTGGCTTGCCGGTGACTAGGGCGTGCAGTTTCTGTTCCCGCGGCTCCCGGAGCTGTTATTTGACATTTTCCCTGGACACCGAGGGAGAATGACCATGTTGGAGATGGTGCCCGAACTGTCCTGCCTCATTGTCCCCCCAAAATTCCCGTGCCTCGCTTCTCCCCAGAGCAAACTCCCCGGGTGTTAAGGTGGCAACAGTGCTGGCGACGGGCAGCGGGAGGCAGGGAAGGTGCTGCTTGAGGAGCCGCGCAAGGAGGTGACATGCCCGTTCCCGCTTTGGAGCGGCTTCTCTGGGCAGGTTGCACGAAGCCGGTGTTCGTGCCCGAGGCCGCCCCTCCTCGGCCTGCCCAGCACGGCCAGGGCGGCTGTCGGGGCTGAGGGGAAGGGGCGAGCCCCGAGTCAGAGGTGGCCGGGGTTCCTGCATCCCGAGCCCTCCGCGGGGTCAACATCCCCCTCGGCACCGGCGGGCGAGGAGCGAACTGGTGCTCCTCCTTCTTTAATAACCAGAGAGCGGCTGTCAAAAGGGCAAAGAAAACGCGGCGAAACAAAAGCGAGCGGAGACGTCCCCGGGCCACGGCCTCCGGGAGTCTCCGGGTAGATCCGGAAGCGCGACAGCGGGGTCCTCTGCTCGGAGAGGGAGTTTGGAGAAACTCCTGGAAGAGGAACGCGAGGTGGACCTGCTTAGACCCAGATTAGAGAAGAGTCTCTGCGGCTGCCCCACCGGGCCGGCACCCAGCGTTGCCCTGCAGCAGCGGTCTGCCTCTGGGCGAGCCCCCTGAGCCTCTCCCTCTGCGCATCCACAGCAACAGGAGAAAACTCCCTGGATACGGGGGCTTCGTCTTCAAGCCAGCATCTACCCACCGTGCCCGGCTTCCGTGGGCCTCGCCGGGCTGTGCGGGGTGGTGCGGCCAGACAGGGGTAAGCCCCCGGTGGGGTGCCCAGGGGTTCCTCGCCCCCCGATGTAGCTGCTCTCCAAGTCTGGCCCCCAGAGAAGCGGGTGTGGAGCTCAGGATGGGTTCTCCACTAAGTGCTTTTAAACGGGGACTCTGCCGTTGCTTTCGCGACCGTGAATCTGGATTGTGCTGAGGTTTCATGATGGAGACTCCGTTGGGGAAATCGCAGTAACTGCTGTTAAAAGCCGGCAAACCAGCACAAAGTAGATAAGGGCTTGGATCTTCTGGCCACCCCACCCCCACCGGCCACCTCCGCCCCCCTTTGCTATTGCCAGACAAAGGAGGGGGTCTAGATGGGCTCTGCTCTGCAGATGCTCACAGAGGGACAAGTAACCCGGAGATCAACCAGGGCCAAGGAGCTGCCTCGGCCTCTTGGCGTCTCATTTCCCTGCGCCAGCCTTCCTCCGTCTTTGCCTAGATCAAATTAGAAATGACTGAGGAATCTCTTCCCCCTTCCGTGGCACAGAGGAGCTTCTTGCGACAGTATCGCCACTGGGTAGGGACGATGCCCACCCATTGGTGGGTTCCATTGGCTGTCGACATCAAGGCTTGCATCAATCAAAAGATGAGGGGAAGGAAGGACAGGGCCAAGTCAGTCCAGCGCACCGGGTCTGGCCGTAAGCCCGGCGTGGGGGACAGGCTGGCGGTGCCGAGAGGTTTGCCGAGTGCCGGGGGTGGGCATGGCTAGGTGGGGAGAAAGCGTTTCACAGGGACCCGCCGGTGTAGTGAACCCATGAAACCGATGGACACGCTTTTTGACGTGGAAAGCGCAGTGGTTTTCCACTGGAAAATGCTGGGAGAAATGATGAGTCAGCACGATCGCTCTGCGTAGGTTCCGCGCAATCTAGGCGCAGGCAGCCCGGTAACGAGGTTGTTCTCAAACTAAGCGATAGCCTGGCTAAAACGCCTTTATTTATTTTCTTTCTTTCTTTTTTTTTTTTCCAGCTTTCCTCCCCCCCCCCTTCCCTCGTGATAGTGGACAGTTTCTTGTGGCACAAATAGTTTATTTTCTAAGGAAAAAAAATTCCTTGAGTGGAAGAGATTTTTAGGCAGGAGCCTATAATCTATATTTTGTCAAGAGTACCAAAATCATTCTGAAATAAAAACTCGATCCATTTTTTTTTTCTCCTTGAATAACACAGCCGGATGATGCCTTGAGCTTGTGTTAGACGGTAACTCATCATTCATTCGCCAAGAACTGGCCTAAATGGTACCTGTGGGATTAGGTCAATTTTAGTGGATCTACTTCGCCTCATTTGGTTACTAATTGGTTTCTTGTTTTATAAATCGAAATCTCATTTTCAGGAAATTACAAAACCCATGCAGCCAGTCCATTGAGGTAATCCGTGGGTCGGGGGTATTTAAATGGAAATGGTTCTACAATGCATCAGGTATTAAGCAACAGTAAAACTTTCCCTCTGTTTCCAAATGAAATGTGAGCTCGCTAGCTCCTTAGATCCATAATAGATACATCCATTCTAAGACTACTTATGTAAATATGATAAACCAGACTGCGGTGGGGGAGGGGACACAGGGGAGAAAGCAAATTTTATCTGCTGAGGTTAATGTGGCATATCTTCGAAATCTTCCAAAATAGATTATGTTTTGCTTTGTCTTCGGCCACTTTAACTGGGAAAATCCTTTGCCTAAAAACGATTTAGTTATCCTTCCGCTCACAAAGCTGCTTGTTTCTATTCCAGAGCTATTATGCTGTTGGCTCTCCAAATTACAAGAGAATCTTTAGATCTTGTTTCCAAGCGTAATCCTGAAGAAAAAGGGAGAGCTGATTTCCTTGTTTTATTTTAAACAGACAATCAAAGGATTTGCAGAATATTCTGCGGTAGGTCAAGTGCAAGAAATCACAGTTTGCCCCCTCGATGAAAGAAAACTAGATGTTAAAAAGAATAGACGAGGGGGAAAGGAATATTAATGGACGAGGTTTTCTCTTATAATCTTTAAAACAATATTTAGGGGCATCAGGAGAGGCCATCGATTTGGGAGAGGCTGGGCTTGACAACGAATAGAAATAGTCCCCGACTTGAAAGTCCTGAAACATCTGGGGAGTACAAAGGATCATCTCATGTGACAGGATTTCAAAAAGCCCGTTCAGGTAGACGAGTGAAAACGTTTAATTATAAACTATGAGCAGACGCAGCCCAGCAGCGCGAGGTTTCCATTTGAAACATAGTGAGGAGCTCAGCGCCCCGCAAAGAACCGCCTTCCCGGACGGGAGGTTAACCTGCAATGCCCGTGAGCTGTTCATTAACCCAATGAGGTCGGGTTATTTTCCTTTTTAGAAGAAGAATAATTAGAGCTGTAAACTCAGATTAATAAGCAACTTAAATCTTAGGAGAGGAGCGCAGATTTAGTCCTGACTAAAGAAACCTGTCACTCAGATTTCTCTCCGGATGGAGGGACGCGGAAAGGAGCCGCCTCTGCACAAACGGGCAGTCCTGCTTTCCCGGCAGAGAAACCTCTGAGGAGCTCTAGAAAAACAAATATACAAGGGCTTGTCTCTCTTTCCCTGGAAGCTGTGCAAGATTCGCCGTCTCCTTCCCGAATACAGGGGGCGGAGGTGATCCTCCATCCTGGTGGCTGGCTCCCCATTAATTGGCTTGGAGGAATAAACAGAAGGGAGCTTGTTTCTGGCTGGCGCCCTGGTACACGCTGGGGCTGTAGGATGAGGGACAGGCCAGAGAGATGCTCCTGCCTTTGTAGGGCTGTGAAGTTAAGGAGGAAGGAGGGAGATGTAGGAGCGGTGAAGAGACAAGTTGTTGTGAAGAGGTGGACGAGGGAAGGGGGGAAGAAGAGAGAGAAAGGCGAGGACGAGCGGGTGCACTGCTCCGGGGGTGGGGAGGGCGGGCAGTGGCCGCCCTGGGATGCCCCGTTCAAACAGCGCGGAGCAAATCGTTGGCTTTATTTGGACCGGCAAACACCTGGGTGAAGCCGGTCAACAGTGAGGGATGCTCGCGGCTGCCCTCTGTTTGCCTCGAAATAGCTGGAAAACGGGGTCTCGCCTTTCCCGAACCCGCCTCGCGGGGGGACGCACTCCTCCGGCTGGGGTCTCCCCACCCCCGTGCGATCTGCACCCCAGTCATCGATCAGGATTTGTATGTTTTCCCTCCCTTTCACTTTATCTCAGTGTTTGTGCGCGTCAGGCTGGGCCTTATTTCATGGCTTAGGCGTCAAAGGTTTTAACTAACCCGTTTAAATTACTTCAGCAACAACACAGTGAAAAGGCATCGCCTATGAATAGTTTTACTCAGGTGAAGTAATTTCCACCTGGCTTTTATTTCTTATCACTTTGCGTAGGGGAAAACAAGCCGCGTCTAAAACATTAGACAAGTCCGGAGAGACTCATTTCTGGAGGGAGCTGTATGGAGGCAGATCACCCCTCCCCGCAGAGGGAATCATCCCGCCCACCGGAGCAGCGGGAAGAGAGATGGGGATGGAGGTGAATCCCGAAGACCGACTTCGTGGGGCAGGAGGAAGGGTGGTCCGTGCCTTCGGACAGTGACTTGCCTGTGGGATCGTGAGGTCAGGACGCTTTTCCTGAAGTTCAGGGGACGAGTTCCCAGTAGCCGAAGGCAGCACTAAAAAGCCCTTTTAACTGGGACGCTGTTTCACTTACGTCTTAAACTTAACTTCACCGTTAACTCTAAATAGGTATTTTTGTGTTTTTCTCTCACAGGAGTTAGATCTTAAAATAACCAAACCAAAACACAACCAAACTCAGAAAAACAAACCACAAGAGGGTTCTATCTGCAATGAAGCCACACCTAGTTTTCAAAGATTGTATGTATACATATTTTAGAGAGGATACAAGCAAAAATTTGAAACCAAAAAAATGTTCCTCTCCATCAGGTCCACACGAATCAGTTTTTCGTTTCCTGACCTTACTTTTTTTCGTTTGTCTTAAATAAGGACTCGGAGAAGCCTGGGGTCACTCCAGCCGAACCAGCCCACTGGATAATGTTGGACGGGAACTGGGATCCCATCTTTTGCAGGTACTGGCCTGGAAACGACAGCCATACGGTATTAATGATTAAAGAAATCGTTCCCTCTTCTGAGCTTTTAATTGCCACCTTGACTAATTTTTAACTGTCCAAGTGTTTAATAAAAAGGGAGGCAGGAGGGGAACAATTTGAATGTTGTGTGTTTTCCTGGGTCTGTGATTTGGTCCCTCCATGTCCTTTGCCCCAGCATCGTCTAACACTGGGTCCGCAGTGAGGGAATCACAGTGTGTCCCAGTGTGCCGAGGTACAGTAGCATGACTCTTCCCCAAATTATTAACAAGGTGACAAGTCTCGTCAACGTTCTGAAGGTCAGGATGGTGTTACAGGGAGAGGCTCTAGAGACAGGTTGGGGAAGGCTGTCCTGGATAGAAGGACTCAGCGGGCACAGAAATTTGCAGAGACACGAGTAAGGCAGGACACATCTGAAAACTCACAGCGCTCCGCAATACTAAAGAGTAATAGTTGTTACCATGACCATGCATTTTTAGTGGAGTCATGTTACCTTTTGGGGGTCTATTCTGCTCTCGGCACACCCAGGAGTCCCATTTATGTCTGTTGAAATGTACCTGGCAAATTGTCTTATTTACACCGTGGAGAATTTTAGATTTCCTTTGATCGCCTAAAATATCCTTAGGAAATATGCAAGTGCTAAACCCCCAGTGACATTCGATAGGAGAGGAGTATTCAGGATTTCTGGGACCCACATAATAATCACCAAGTAACCAGGACCTCTTCTTAGATACTTCCCAGGCACTTCACATTACTTCTGAGCTCGACCACTCTGAGAAGTGGATTGTATCTCTGTGGCCCAGGAGCTTTAGAGAGATTCCTGTCCAAGACTTGCCTATTTCGCTCCAACTTTTTGAATAATCAGACCCCGAGCATGGATGCCTGTTTGCCAAAATACATCAGAGGGACAAGTATTTCATGGATCTATCTGTCTATCTTCTGATATATTTATTTTCCCATCCCTCACCCTTTTCTGCAGACGTTGGACGGTTTCATATTTGTCGTGGCTCCAGATGGCAAGATCATGTACATCTCGGAGACTGCCTCGGTGCACCTGGGCTTGTCGCAGGTACGCTGTGGGGGCCCACTAGCCCCCTGCTTGCCTGCACCACCCCCCGCGACTGACAGGCTACGGTGAGCGGTGCCGGGGATGAGCCCCTCTCCTCCTCTTCCTCCCCATTCTCCTCCTCTCTCACAGGTAGAGCTGACCGGTAATAGCATTTACGAGTACATCCACCCCGCCGACCACGATGAGATGACGGCGGTGCTGACGGCCCACCAACCCTACCACTCGCACTTCGTGCAGGGTAAAGTACACAGCACCCCGCCCCCGCCCGGCCCGCGCAGTCGAGGAGGGGTCCGTGCAGAGCCAGCGCAGCCTATGTAGCTCACCCCATCTCTGCCTTTCCCCCTCCCAGAGTACGAGATCGAGAGGTCCTTTTTCCTGAGGATGAAGTGCGTCCTGGCCAAGAGGAACGCGGGCCTGACCTGCGGGGGCTACAAGGTGCGTGCCCGCGGCCAGGACCTGGTTCCCCCCTTACCAGCCTTTCCGTGCCCCTGTGCCGGGAGAGCGGTGAAAATGGGGAGAGGAGTCGGGATGAGCCCTCTGCCCGCCGAGATTGCCCCAGCCCAGGATTCTTTCATGTGGTTCATTTCTCTCGGAGTTTCAGGTTGAAGAGCTCAAACCACAAAACCAAGCAATCGAGATCGCCGTGGGCTGCTTTTGTTTTGGTTTCTTTTTTTTTTCGATTTATTTATTTTGTTTTTTAAACGGAACCTCGCACAACCACTGAGGTTCCCGGGGCGTCTGTGGAAGCTGTCAGGTGACACAGCGGGAGCCCTGGGTTAATTTATTTCTTTATTGGGTAACTCGTCAGCTGCAGGGGCAGCTCTCCCAGTCAAAGGTTTTGTCCGCGTGCTTCACACGGTTCTGCCCGGGGCTCCTGGGTAAGGACAGCCCTGCTCTCCTACCTCCTCGCTGCTTTTTCAGCCAAACAAAGCCGAGGAACGGGTTGTACCTATAAACCAAGGATATGTACAGTAGACCAAGAACATCTGTTGAACTAACTCCACGAAGAAACACCCTAATAATAGAGAAGTAAGAGTGGAAGTAGACAGCAGTCATCTTCACGGATACATTAAGGAGATACACCTAAACCTAAGATACTTTTTGGCGACGGATCGCGCCTGCTCTATCTATATAATATACATATCTTACACATGACATACGCACACATGTAACCTCTTTCTCTTACACGCATACACTCCTCATTACAAAGTTGTAACTGGATTGGCACTTCCGCGTCTTTCGTTTTTAGAAGAATAATAAAAGAGCAGTTAGGAGATGGGCCAAAAACCACTTAAGCCAGTGGAAAAAAAGATCTCATTGACTTTAATGGGCCTTAGATCAACGCTGAACTCTCGTACGGGGAAGAACTCAACCCCGATAGAACTGTAGAAAACCCGCAGCCAGTGCCGCTTTGCCAGTGCGGAGACGCGGGACAGCGACTCTCGGGAACCCGGCAGCCTCATCGGCACCGGTTGTCCGGGCCCTCTTCGTGGGGAGGGACGCCCGTCTCAGCACCCCCTTCCCCCCTGCTAGGCAGCCGCCAAGCTTTCCTGTGTCTCCGGCAGGTCATTCACTGCAGCGGGTACCTGAAAATCCGCCAGTACAGCCTGGATATGTCCCCCTTCGATGGCTGCTACCAAAACGTTGGGTTGGTCGCCGTGGGCCACTCTCTGCCGCCCAGCGCCGTGACGGAGATCAAGCTCCACAGCAATATGTTCATGTTTCGGGCCAGCCTAGACATGAAGCTCATATTCTTAGATTCCAGGTAGAGCTGGGGTTATTTCTAAATCTATTCTCCTAGCCCCTCCCTTGTTCTCCCCCGGGCCTCCTCTCCTGTCCTCTCACCCACTTATATTTGCTGCTTATGTCTCTCGCAGGGTAGCTGAACTAACAGGTTACGAGCCCCAGGACTTGATAGAGAAGACCCTTTACCACCACGTCCACGGCTGCGACACCTTCCACCTGCGTTGCGCACATCACTTGTGTAAGGAGATGGTGTTCTTGTTAAAGACCCTGCCCCCCCTCTTCTCCCTCTGCAGAAGAACTTTGGGGTTGCTGGGATTTACCTCTAGGTCGGAACGGGAAAAGCCAGCTCACTGGAGGGGAGAATAAGCATCTATCTATCTGCATCTAGTTAATCAAGGTTAGATATAGATTGAACTACAAGCTGGAGGGAGAAGGACACAGAGGGGGATTGGCAATGAAAAGCTATTTTTCCATTCTCATCTCCTGGTTGTAGGACAAGCACTGCCCTGCCCAAACCTTAGGAGCTCCATTCACTTCAAATTCTGATTAGGAAAACCCTTTTTTCTTGCTCCAAAAAGCCATGCCAGTGAAATTCAAATACCTTTGTTCCACTTCCACCCAATCTCACAAATCTTATCTGTGTATCTAATTTTGACTGCAGTAGTGGGCCTGATTCAGAGAGATGTTCTTTATTCTATTTTGATATCATCATGACATTAATACATGGATAGATGAATAAAAAGGATATTAATTTCCGGTAAGTTTCCTTTCAGAGAATGTAACGAGAAGAGATAAAACTCAAATACAGATTTATAGAATTAAATCTCGATGAGGATATGTCAGGATGGGGGTGAGTCCGTAGGATTCGTCCCCCGTTGCCACTCTTCTCGCCTCTGCCGCCCCGCCCCACCCCACTAATCTCTCCGAGTAGCCTTTGATAACGATCTCAGTTACTGACATCAACCCTGCCCGGGGGTCACCCTTGCCCAGGGGTGGTTCTGTTCCTACCGGTTGCCCATGTGATGCTAAAGGATTCCTAACCCCTCTCGTCGCCTACAGGGGTCTGGGGGGAGTGTGCGCCCCCTTCCCGGGGTTGATCCAGCTATAGGAGGGAGCCGCGCTGAGGTTCTCCCCGCTTTGTCCCCGCAGTGCTGGTGAAAGGGCAAGTGACCACCAAGTACTACCGCTTCCTAGCCAAGCACGGCGGCTGGGTGTGGGTGCAGAGCTACGCCACCATCGTGCACACCAGCCGCTCCTCCCGCCCGCACTGCATCGTCAGCGTCAACTACGTCCTCACGTAAGTCAGCCTGGGGCCGCTCCGAGCTGCGTGGGGCCGTGCGGGGCCGTGCGGGGCCGAACCCCGCCGATGGGCACCTGCCTGTGCACCCCGCGCCGGGAGCTGAGGGCCGGGCCCGCGGCCGCTTCTCCCGCCCGCCTCTCCCCCCCGCCCCGGTGGCGGCTGCTGAGCCCCCTCGCCGCCGCGCTGACCAGGGCAGGCTCGCCAGGTCTGCTAGGAAACACACTGAGCGCTTTCATCTAGATGAAGGGTTTCCCGTCTGCCTATTTCTTTCTCTTTCGAGAGAGGAAAAGATTTAGAGGTTTGTCACCCACATATTTTGCTGCCCCCTCCTTCTTTTTCCTTTTTTTTTTCTTTTTTTTTTCCTTTTTTTTTTTTACTGTTCAAATGCACCCAGCATTAAATAAAATTTAATGCAGCGTAAAAGAAAAGGCTTCCACGTACCGAGTTATTTATACTCAACAAACAGGACATCTGTTTTTCTTTTCAAAAATCTGGGGTTTGAAGTTCTTAATTTCATCCAGAGTCTCTATCAAAGCTTGGAGATTTCTTTTTTGTTCTTGGAGTGTGATCCTTACAGTGAACCACAAGAAAGTTGGTGACCAGAAGGGTCAGTTAAACTTTTTAAAAAATAAAATCAAATAGAAATAAAAAAAATTAAAATAGAGTAAATGCTGAGGTACCGCATATCTTAATACATCTCCCTGTATTTGTGGATGGCTAGGTTGTGCTCTAGCTTAGACTGAAACAAAGAGGCCCAGTGAGGAAGGGAAAGCTCGGTCGGACTATTTGCAAGTGTTTTTCATGGTAATTGTTAGCATCTCCTCTGGACACGGCAGTAGCTGCTGCTGGCAGCACTGATGTTTCATTAGGGTCGTAGAACCGGTCGACCGGTCAGGACGGCGGTACCTCACTGATCCTGGGGGCCTGTATATTCCTCTGTTCCGCTGCTGCTTGTTTTTTCTTATTCATATATTTAGTTTTTTATTCTGGAGACAAATGTAGGTATAGGAAGCGTCCGAGAGGCACAACCCTCCCCCCTCCTAAAACTGCGGTGATGACAGCATTATGACCTCGCCTTTAAGGCTTTCGCATCCCCAGGTGGGGAGTGATTTGGAAGCCCAGTTTAAGGCATGCTTCCCAAAATAAAGTGGCTCGACGCGTAGGCCACGGCTCTAGTCATGTGTGGAGGTGCGGCTGGTGGAGTGGTAAAGGGGCTGCGGGTCACGGTGCATGCACTGCTAGGGCATAATCAGTCCCTTTGGTGTGTAAGGTCATAACGGGCGTAGAGCTCTAAGATGGTCAGACAGGGGTTACTGCGCCTGCATGAAAAAGCAGATATTTGGGTAAGCACTTTGATGTAGGGAGTAAACCGCGATTTCCCTTTAAAAAATCCCTTTTATTTCCTTTAAAAAGGTATGCAGCGTAATACCCTGGCATTCCCTCAGCAAGGACGCCTATCAGCAGAGGCGTTATCACCTCTGCTCTAGCTATTCTGACCATTTGTATGTCCATTTTCCCTGTACCAGTCCCTCTCTGTATTTTTCGCCGTTTATGTTTCTCAGTTAAGTCCAAGCACCTGCCTTAGGTGAACGGGGAACTGCAAAGAGGGAAAATAGTGTATCGTAACGCTAAGAAACAAGGAACTCGAAGGTAACTAGCACACTGGAGTGATTTTGCTCCAGAAACACTACTTTTCTATGAGCATTTGAGATTATCCGTCGTTTCCCTTTTCTTTAGTCCTAAAAGCGTGACCATCAATCACGGAATTCTGTCTCAAATGATTGGAGTGGAAATGAAACATCCCAGTGGATCTGCTGAAAGCCAGCTGGGCATCCAGCTCGATCTGTCCCTTAGTTGCCGGGTGACCGACACGGCACCAGAATTTCAGGCTGGCACAGCATAGCAAGTGCTCTGGTACCCCCATGGGGGCCGGTCAGACAAACCCTTCAGAGCTGTGTTCCAGCAGCATGACTGACTGTACCATGCGCCGTCCTACCCCCTTGGCTGCGCACAGGTGCTGCGGCCACCACCGGTGTCACACAGCCCAGGCGTCTGTCAGCTCCCAGATGTTGCCGAGGTCGGGGGCGCTGCGGTCAGCCTGTTCGCAGGCCGTTTGCACCTCCACAGCCCGCTGCTCCGGGGCCCCTCGACCCGCGGGGGCAGCCGCCGGACAGCCCCTGCGTGTCCGCGGCTCCGCGCCCCGGTGGGATTTCCCCGCCGCCTGGAGGCGGGGCGCCTGAGCACTCTCTCCCGCCCTCCCAAAACGGCGCTGCAGGGAAGCCGGCTTCCCCCTCAGAAGCGGTACCCAAAGAGGGAGATTCCTCCGCCTCAGCTGACTTATCGTTGGAGGCAGTGTCTTTATATTTTCGTGCATGTATATGGATTTTCAGAACCTGTTTTCAGCCAGACTGACGTGTAGTAGGACTACAGTTGTTTTTTTAATATTTCCCTTAGAGAATGAAGTGGGTAACTTTGTTACTCGGTGTAAATCTCCAAGTCTCCTCTTGCGCCCTTTTCTTAATTGCCTCGAGTGCGGAGGACGGCGGGAGGGCAGAGAGGGACCCAGACTGGCTAAAGTGGGAACACTGAAAGCTGGGAGGTCCAGCACCGGCTGCGGAAACTGCCATGTGCTGCCGACGGCTGTAATCCAGACACCAGCACTGTCTAGCTCTTCATTAGGGAGCTGTAGAAGAGATCACATCCTGCTTGCTTCTGCAGCAGGGCTGCTGCTACTGCAATTGCTACCCTTGTTCCAGGGGATAGGCATAACTTCCACTTGAGCATTATTATTATTATTATTATTATTGTTATTATTATTATAATCGTCATCATCATCATTATAATTAGCATCGTTATCCTACTTCTCTGCCTAGCCTACCATTCAGAAAAACATATAGGGAGAACAGGCCTTGCCATGTGCCAGGGGGCTGTAAGCAGAGAAAGGGCTGGCTTTTAAAAAAGTGAGATGCAGTCAGGCTTTTAAAAAAGTGAAATGCAGTCATCCTCTGAAATGGGTAACTGGAGGTAGACGGAGCTTTTAGGGAAAGGCTCATGGTGGCAGAGTTGGCCAGGGGGATGCTGAACTACCTAGAGCAGGCTTAATTTTCTTAGTGAACTATTCAGAGTCAAGATGTTATCACTCAAATGAGAAAGATAGGTGGGAAAAACATAGAGGAAAATGAGAGGTTATGGGAACTTGAGGTTTTCCTCTGGTGTGAGGTAGGCTCCACTCCAGGAGGGCTGGACAAAGGTCCTGTAGCACTCAAAATCTGCAAGTGTTTAATATACTTTATGCTGGTATAAATCCTATAAATACTGTAGTTCCTTAAGGATGGCACTGGATTATTACAGTAAACCAAGAGAGGCTGAAGTGAGTGTGTGCACCATGGGTTCCTCCCATGTTTCACCCACGGGGCAGTGGGTGTGTGGCAGAGCCCCTGGTGCAGCTCCTCGTAGAGGCACAGGCACAAATTTGCCTGCTGCAGCCAGGTCCTGTTACAAACCCAAAGGGGAAGAACATGCTTACAGAACAGAAATACAAACCTTTGCATACTGGCTCCTGTGTGTGGAAGCCAAGGAGAAAGTGAAAGAGGTTCAAACTAGTGGGTTTTTGTTTTTAAATAACATAATTGCAATCCCACACATTTGGGATTGCAAGCTGGAACTTGAAAGATGGGATGACTCCCTCCAAAAATTCATTTGAAAATACGAAATAGGAAAATTGCAAAAGGGGTCATAAACTTTGGAAGATGTGCTGCCAATTTCTGACCTGCTGGGTCCCTGGTTCCTTTGCACAGTACTTCTTCACTCAGGGAAAGACCCAGGATTTTTTTCGGTTTGCTCATGGGATAAGGAGCTTTTTCTCACTGTTGAGAGGAGCCTGAGCGCTATGTTTTGGAAAGGAGAGGATACTGAGTGCCATAAGTGCCAAACTGATCTGGAGCAGTTTCAGTGCAGGCTGAGCAGCAAGAAGGAGAATCTCTTACCTTGTAGCTTTCCAGCTCACCTGGGTAGTACTGATGATGAAAAAGGAAAGAATGAAAGAGAGTTTATGCAAAAAGAACTCCCCACACCTCAGTTAAAAAAAATAAAAAAGAGGTGATTTCCATTTTCCATAAATCTCGAGCTCTGAGATCATGAATTCTAGGCTTGGGACAAATGTTTGTAATAAGTATATATACTGAATTAAATCAGCAGAGTGGCAATGGCATTTTAGGAATAAGAGGAAAGGTGATTTTTTTTTGCATAATAGTGTATCAAAAATTAATACAAATGACCTTTAAGGACTCTATCTTTAAAGCATACATATTTGCTCTTCTTTGTATTCTGCTTGGCATATGTGAGTACAGACACAGAATATTTGTTTCTTTTCTTATTTGTTCTGTACACACAGTCACCATATCATTGATTATTAGCTGTGCATGTTTATCACATAAAGGGACTCAAGTATGAGTCAATTAATGGAGAATGCAACTGCTGAAGTTAAGTTTATATTTGGATCGCAAACAACCCTCTCTTAAACAAATGGACAATGCAAAAATCCTTTGATGTTCTGAGCATGGGCAAATATAATAATTTGTCCCCAGAGAAAGCTAAAGAAACTTTCCTATATACATTTTGTCATCCTTTATAATTTAAAAGAATAGCAATAGTGGTGACATATACAGATAACACGGATTAGGTACCTAATTGTGACTAATCTCTCTCCTAATGATATAGCATGTATTTGATATAGTCCCAGTTGACCTGATTAGGAACACAAACCGAATGCAATTTATTTGAAAGATTATTTCACAAATGACTGCCATATTGACAAATGTTTTACCAACAATGTGGTCGATGCAATTTAGAATAAATTAACCATTAATTGTATCTACACACTTCACCTTTGAATTATTATTACTATTCATAGCTTTGTGTGCTACCAGATTTGAAATGATAAAGATGGCAAGGTACTATCTTTATGTGTGATGGCTCAGACTTAAAAGCAGTCCTTC